GCAGGGTTTCTCTGGAGGCTGTCCTGGAACTAGCTCTTGTAGACCAGGCTGGTCTCAAACTCACAGAGATCCGCCTGCCTCTGCCTCCCGAGTGCTGGGATTAAAGGCGTGTGCCACCAACGCCCGGCCTAAGACAACTGTTTTTTTTAGTATTCATTTGCCAAGAGTTTGTTCTGGATTTCAGGAAAAAAAAACTCCTACAGCAATGGAGCTATCTTCCAGCTGTCTGATGGGAGAAAGACCTATTATCTTCTTTGTGATCTGGTTCCTACTTTTCTTTCCTAGTTGCCTGAAGTCCTTGTGACAACCAGGTAAAAAGTACCTTCAGTTCATCTGACCTCAGCATAAAGCCACAAAACAAATATCTCCTTTTGCGTCTTTAAATCTCTCTTTAATTGTTAGTATTGTGGGTACCCTTCCACTTGTAGAACAGGGAATTACTCCACCCCACCTAGTAGAGTGGGCTGTGCAAGCTAGCTAGCCACATTGTGTCCAGGAGGAAGAAAAGGAAGTCCCTATGGAATGCAGGAAGATAACAGAGTCTGTTATTGGAGCCAGGGGCAAGGGTTGTTGAAAAGAATATCTTTGCAGTTCTAGAGAAGGCCCTTGGTGTGAAAGGCATGTTCAGGAACCATTGTGCTGTGCCTTTAATCACAGCATAACCCTATGGGAGGTGCTCTTGTCACTCAGGAGTCATTAGCCAATCAGCCCCTCCAGCCGACCCGCCACTCAGAAATGTCACAGGCCCCTTCCGGCTGCCAACTTCATGATTGGCTTTTAAGAGGAACTGGTACCAGCCTTTCGGTGTGCTGTGCTGCCATTGTGGCTACAGGGAGCTGAGCAGAGAAAATGAGCGACCTGGGAAACCACAACAGGGTGAGCAAGGGGTTGCTGTTCCCGGATAGGGAGGAGGAGATGGTGAGGTGCCGCAGTCGGTGTGGTGTGTCTTACCCAGTTCTGGTTGGAAACCTGCAGCCAGATTTCCTGTGCTATGAGGTCCCATGTGCTCCTTGAAACTCCTTGGACCCAGGTGCAGGACTTTGAATAAATGTGCTCTGTGGGCTGACTCTGCTTAGAGCCCTGAGAGCAGGGAATTGTGTGTAGAAACATGTTCCTAGTCAACTTCAACATGCTTTTGTTGTTGTTGTTTCGAGACGGTTTCTCTCTGTTGCTTTGGAGGTTATTCTCAAACTAGCTCTGTAGACCAGACTGGCCTAAAACTCACAGAAATCCTCCCAAAACTCACAGAAATCCTCCCGCCTCTGCTTCCCCAGTGCAGGGATTAAAGGCGTGAGGCATCAACACTGGCGTTTTTGTTTTTGTTTTTGGAGGGGGTTTTTGAAACATGCTTTCTCTGTGTAGCTTTGGAGCTTGTCCTGGAACTCGCTCTGGAGACCCGGCTGGCTTGAAACACACAGAGATCCTCCTGCCTCTGCCTCTCGAGTGCTGGGATTAAAGGCATGAGCCGCCAACGTCCGGCTTTCAACATGATTTTGAACATGCTTTGGAAAGCACGTTTCCAAACTCAGAGAGACCTAATTTCTCCGGTATCTTCTAGACAGTCAGCACTTTGTATTTAACCTGTAAATTCCATTTATAGTCAGTTTTGTGCCGGTTGTAAAAAACATCTCATGTGCTGTTTATCACGCTAATACTATGCTGTGATGCAGAAGATTAGAATTGGTGATATAAAGGATAATGCTTAGGAGATAGTGAGTCTCACAAAGTAGAATTTAGCTGAGGGAGGTCTGCCTCTAAAACACCTCAAAGATAAATATATACTAACCGTTCCTGTTAGAGATTAGGATGCTAGGATACACCTTTGTTCACCAGGATTGTTCAGACATTTGACTCCAAACCATTACAAAGGAGCCACCCCTGATTTATAACCAGCCTCTTAGCTAAAACCTATATCAAAGAAAAGGCCTCTAACAAGCTGCTCAAGGAGGCATTACAGGGCCACAACCAAGTTTAGGGCCTGGTGAGCCATAGAGTTCCAGTTTCCTTGTTGAGAAAAACATAGTTCTGCAATATGATACCAGGTGACAACTATTTGAATATGAAAACACTATTGTTTAAGGACTTGTTTCAAGGCTTTTATTTAAGCTCTAAGGCAGGGAGGAGGAACATTCTTGGGAAAACTAGGAGCAGCCTGGCCTTGAGAGCTTTCCCTAAGGGCCTGATATTACAATGAAACAGAGCTCCTTCTTTAAAACCAGGAATAAGCTTGGGAGCAATGGGGTCTGGGGTCAGGGCCTTAGTGGAGGGGCTGCTTCAGGTCCTGAGAACCCTACTCTATCCACCATATGGAGCTATGGTTATCAGTCCTGATGCCACTGTGGGCTTACTTAGTAATGTGTTTGAGATACCCTGTGTTCCCTTTGTGTGACATTGTTTGATTAGCCTCCCTTTGAATTTATCCCATTGTAGCATAGTTTCTGCTGACTTCATAAAGAAGTCTCCCATGCACACACAAAACATACAAAATGTGGGGATAAACTTGTTTTCAAATGTTCTTGTAACTCCTAACATAATTAGAGCAAAACAATTTTCTTTATAGGTGTATAATACAAACTGTGCACTGTTTCTTTAAAAATCTGTTATCTTGTGTTTGTTTGGAAAAGTATTCATTTCCTCACTCTGGTGCAAACGTGTAGGCAATCATCACTCTAGGAAACAAACTGGTGTCTGAGTAATCCTGACAGCCATCCTTTTCTTTATCATAAGAGAATGAGATCCTTTTAGTTATCAAAACTATGGTCTACAAAGTTAAACATCAGAAAGCCTCAAGTGTGTGTCTCCACTTTTGGCCGAACAGGTCTTACCCACTCCATTTTCTATTCTTGGGAAAGGATGGAACTGGAGTGCACAGGATGAGTGGTGGCCTCATTCCAATGGTTTAATTTTCATTGGAATCTTCTTATTCTTGTTTAAGGGAGCATGATATATATTTGTAGGTATGTCTTTTTTTTTTTTTTTTTTGTCCTGTGTGGTCAGTGGTGCCATCTATGTTTTTATATTGTCATCTAAATTTATTGTTGTTTCTCTGGAAAATGATTGATCTTCACCATTTTTTTCTAGAAAATTTACTATAAGTTCCCTGACTTGTTGTTGTTGTTAGGAAGTGGGTGGAGAGACAGTTTTAATTTTCTCTTCCTGATCTTAGAGGCTTGCTTCTCCTCATTTCTTGATGTATCTGTGTTTTCCATGCTAACTTCATGTTTTGTTTTTTTCTGCATATGTGATTGATATGGTTAATATATTCTTTTTGTAAATCTTCTCATATATTGTTGTCTCTGTCTTAATTAACTTCAGCTGCCAATATAATGTGGGCTAGAGTTGAGGGAACATCAACTGAGGCTTGCCTGGATCAGAATCAGGAGTTACTATGATTGAGTAATTGTCTTGATTGATGATTGATGTGGGAAGACCCTTTCCACTGTGGTTGCATAGCCTTAGCAGGTGGGCCTGAGATGGATAAGAGATCTTGCTGGTCACAAGACAGAGACCAAGCAAGAGAGAAAGCCAGTAAACAAAGTTTCCCTGTGGTTTTTGCCTTCAGTTTGTTGCATGAGTTTCTATCCTAAGCTCCCACAATTATAGATTGTGATCTAACAATATCAGTCAAATAAACTGAGATGCTTTTTTTTTCTTCTGGTTTTTCAAGACAGGGTTTCTTTGTGGCTTTGGAAGCTGTCCTGGAACTAGCTCTTGTAGACCAGACTGGTCTTGAACTCACAAAGATCTACCTGCCTCTGCCTCCCGAGTGCTGGGATTAAAGGGGTGTGCCACCAACAGCTGGCTTGAGATGCTTTTGAGTAGAGAATTTAATCACAGCAAGAAACAAGCGAGTAATATCAAAATATGGGACACCAAAAAGTGGTTTTGTTGCTGGGTAGAATGTGAGAATGTTCTTTTGGAGGGATGTGGAAGATATTAGGACATTAGATGGGAAAAGCCATCAAAAGCTTTTCACAGAGCTTAATCTACTGTTCTGTAGGACTAGGAATATGCCAGTGTTGAAAGACATGCAGACAATGAAGCTTGAGATCTTAGGATTTCAGTAGGGAATAGATTCTATGAAAAGTTCACCTAGAGGTTATTTACATATTATTTTGTTCCCTAATCATTCTTATTTTCTCTATCCCCTGAGAAATTGAGTAAGGCAGAATTACAAAGTAACCTTCTGATTTCTTGAACAAAGTATTGATTCTGTTGGGTGTTTATTAATGATGACTCATTCAGGTCCACAGAGGAAAAGAAACAAGTGGTACAGAAAGAAATGAAGAATATGTTTCATAGAGGAAAACAGCACTAGGTAGTTTCAAATGACAGTCCTGTGGTGAAGCAGAGGCAGGAAATTTCAAAAAGTTTAGCACCATTAAAGAGATGACCCTTCTCAGCATTTGAAACCTAGGAAGATACCCTTTATGGAAGGAATAGGCAAGTTCGTTCCTAATCTGAAAAAGCAACTTCATACAGATCCTCCTGCAACTCTGGTCTAAGTGTGGTAGGAGCCATGACAAATTAGAAGCCAAATTTGGGGGATAACCCATGTTGTACTGGTTCTGGAAACTTGAAAGATGAAAAATGTATAGGTCATAGATTCTTCTGTGGTTTCATTGAACAATGTTACACCTGTGTATGTTTGGCGGAGTAGAAACCCAGTGAGAATACTGTGAAAGTTTGTCGCATTAAGCTGTGAAGAAGAAGCTAGTGTATTTTGGGATGATAGGATGTTGGGATACCCAAACTGTGAGACATCTGCCATGGAGAGCTGCATACAGGGAGTGGAAGTAACAAAAGATAGATATGTATGAAAAGTTTCAGGGATAGAGCTATTTAAGCCCTTTGAGAATGAAGCACCACCTGCCTGAGACGGAGCTCCAGGATTTGTTGTTTCCCCTGCCAAGCTTTAGTTTTGCTTGGTCCAATTCTCCCTCACTGTGTCCATGTTTCTTTCTTTCTTTTGTAAAAAAATTATTCATCTCTCCATACATACAATCCATCCGAACTGCAGTCTCCACTCTTCCCAGTCTTCTCCACTTTTCCCTTCTCTACCAGATCCACTCCCCCTCCATTTCCCTTCAGAATAGAGCACATATCCCAGATAGCAACAGAACCCTGCAGAACAATTTACAATAAGACTAGACACAACCCCTCATATCAAGGCTGGACATGGCAACCTAGTAGGAAGAACAGTGTTCCAAGAGAAGCCAAAAGAGTCAAAGATGCCCCCCCACACACACACACTGTTAGGAATCACACAAAATCACCAATCTACACAACCATATGCAGAGGACCTGATGCAGACACCTGCCGGCTCTGTGATTATTGTTTCAGTCCCTGAGCCCCTATGAGCCCTGCTTACTTGATACTGTAGGCTGTATTCTTCTTTGTCCTTTACGGCTTTTTTATTATTTTTAATTACTCATATTTACATACCCACCCCCCTATTCTCTTGCCCTCCCCTCCTCCCATGTTTCCCACCTAACCCACCCCAGCCCATCCCCCAACTCCTCCAGAGATAGTGAGGCTCTCTACCAAGGACCTACAAAGTCTGTCATATTGTTTGGGGGAGGGTCTAGACCCTCCTTGATGTATCTGGGCTACAATAATATCCCTCCATAGGGAATGGGCTCCCAAAGTCCATTTGTGCTCTAGGGATAAAGACTGCCTCCACTGTCAGAGGAGCTATAAACTGTCTTGGGTTCCTAGCTGGTACCCACATTCAGAGGGTTTGGTTTGGTCCAATGCTGTTTTCCCAGCTTTATGACTAGGGTCTGCATTCTATCAGTAGGTCAGGTCCACTGTTTCTGCAGGTCTCACCATCCTCATCTTGGCTCCTTTGCTCAACCCTCCTTCCTCTCCACAAC